TTCTCGGTTTTGTCTTAATCGCTCCACCCTGATAATACTGATGTAATCATCGCGAGATGACTTATGTGTTGGCTTTCTGGGATACTCCATGGAGGAGATAAAAAGTATGCAACGTTATCACACGAAGGTGAACAATGTTTGCCACGAAGGCGTTGGCACACGCGAAGAACGCCCACGCAATCTCCATATCTATATTTCACATCAGGGAGGGGAGAACAAACATTCCTCACATTTAAGATCAACAAAAATGTAGAAAATTACAAAATTTCTGCGAGAAGAGGATGCAGTGGGAGAATTAGTCAAATATTAGTGCTCTTACAAAATCCATGTGAGATGCAGAACCCCAAAATTTATCAGAAAAGGCTTTTTACTTTCTCGCATACTACATTCACAGTAGCAAAAAGTAATGAAATGCTGTATCTAAAATATCAATTTTATAGTCTGAAAAACGTTTGTGGGGGCCCTGGTATTGAAAAGTGGATAAATCTTGTTCTAATATGTAGTAAAATTACTTCCTCTAACACAGGTGTTCCCAAAATATTGAACTTTTGCAATTTTAGAAAAATCTAAGATTTCAACGAACAAGTGACATTGCGTCCTTTTCGCTACCCGAGGACAACGTTTAATAATAATAAAAAAAATTGACTTATTTTGGAGAAAAGTTGGAAAGTGGTTTTCGGGCTTCATGTAAAGTACCCTCAGAAATCACAATATCCTGCTGAAACTCCTAAAGCCTCGAGATCGTTCAGATCGATCGAAGAATATCACTTTTGGAGAAAATAGGCTGAAGGCGCTAGCGTTCATCACATACAGTCGTTTTGACGTCGATCGATTTTTCTGTATCAAGGACCCACAAAACAAGGATTCTGGTTACACCACTTGTTAGGGGACGTAAATTACTGTAGACAGCAACAGGTCACACTTGCATTGCCAGGGCCCGGCAATAAGAGTTTTTCTGCTGAAAATTCTCCATTTTCCGCCGCGCGATTACGTAATATTATCTTAAGAAGTTAAGTGCGAGCAAGTAAAAATACCGTTCGAGGCTGGTTGGCCAGGTGTCTGCCAGCCCCCATCTGTATTCTCCTAATCTAATTTTCCCCAAAAAAATATTTTCATTCACATCTAGTTTAAAAGCACAGGTAGTGACCACAGTTAAAAAATCGTAGTTTTCTCAAAATTCTTAGGCTGCATTTCTAGTCTTTTGGTGAAACTCGATTGGAAATTAGTACTCCATTTTGTGAATAAGAATTGCCCCAAAAGACCAATTTTTAATTAGTTATAATTTTATTTAAGTTCCTAACCCCCATTTTGTTCCAGAAATAGACAAATAAAAATTGTAACAGTTGGATGGAAGTCAGATACTTGTCTCAATAATGGCCAATTGATATTCTGCTCTTGAACGTATCTGAAATTTTGAAAAGTCCAAGACAATACCCTTCAAGTTAAATTATTGCAATGTCAATATTCAGGTTTTCAGCTTACTATTTTAATATAAAATAAGGGAAAATAAATAATTTATCTTCGTTCGAATCCTCATCTCTAGAAGGCATAATCTCAGCAAGTTGCATACAGTGAGAAGTCTTCAATTCATATTTTAGACATTATGATACCAGTAATGGCCACTACAGTGGCCATTACTGGTGTCGTTCACTTATCACTTATTTTTATAAAATAAAATATGTCTTATCTAAAATTTCAAAGGTGGAAATATTTCTTTAAAAAAGGGTTATCATTTTCATTGTATTTCTAGTTATGTACTGTGCTATGGTCCCCCGTTTCGGCCCACTGCCGGCGTCGTCAAGTCGAATTGACTAACTGCGCTCCGTGAAGTCACGGAAGGCAAATCGAGTTGGACGTGGCGAGAGAAAAAACACTAAGTTAACAGAGGTTTACCCCACAGAAGCTATATGCCCAAGAGACGTGTTGCAAAGATGCAACACGTTAAAAAACGCGAGTGGACTGCACATGCTAGGCCGACCTGTCTTAATTTTAAGTTCACTTTAAAGTGAAACTCGAAACAAGTAGTAAATAAGGTCTCCTACTAAAAAATGAACATTTTACGAAAAAGCGGTAAAAGACTGATTAAATTCAATTAAAAGCAGTTTAAATACTTAATTTAGAGACCTCTAAGCCTGTTGAAGTAGCCAATGTGAGACTCTTCTGCAAGACCAACTGGTGATAAACTTGTTTGCATTGATTTGTGTAAAAAGCATCAAAAACGATTCGTTTTGACGTTGACTTATTACTTCAAACTCTCACGGAAATAGCACCTACCACATGCTACTACGAACAGACCGTACACGTGGAATTGGTTGGCACATTTTGACTTTATTTCTTGGTCGGTCATGTCGAACATAGAGTCATTACTCCATGTTCAATATTCAACCATTTAGAAATAACAAAAAAATTCTATAATGCAGCCTTATAAATGTAGTTTCCATTGATACAATCGACCTTGCTAAACGTGCATAAAAAAAACTACCAACTAATGCTAATCAGCCCCGGTCTCCCTTATTTAGCGTTTCAGCAGCGTCTACTACTTCGGTCATTTGTCTCTAAATGGGGTCACATCGTCTCGACAGATCTCCCAGTAGTATCCCTCCCACCGGGACCCCGCCATGGCCGGAACATTCGAAATGTGTGGACACACTCCCGTCATGTGTGGAAGTGCAGTATTTGTAAGTGTATGTAAGGTCAGAGAAGAGGCAAAAACTGAAGATGGAAATACCGCGAGCGGTCACAGTTTGTTAGGGTTCTGCATCGACATGCGTGAGGTATTGATCGTCCTGGTAATGAAAAATCACAGTAAACTAACAATCAGAAAAGCTAGTCACTAGAATTCTCTTCTAGACAGTGACTGAACTCAACCTGCATAGTTAGAGTGGAAAATTCGCCATTGTCGTTTCTCGAACCCTAGGACTTCTCGGTCAGAGACACTGCAGTAGTAATGGAGCCATCTCGGTTTGTAGGTGAAGTACACTGGTGATGGCAAGGAACAGCAGGTAATGTGTGATAAACTGGACTGCTGGCGGGTCGTCTCTAATGCTAACAAGAGACAAGGCATGTAGTTTCGAGTTTTGCGTGTCAATAATAAAGTTCTATTTTCACGCTACTACTTAACTATAACCTCTCTGTATACGTCAGTTGACGCTTCGCTATGCATTTCCGAGAGAGGGTGACAAGATTATGGTCTTCGGCACTCGTGATTTATACACAAAATAATACCCGGCGAATAATACCAAAATTAGCGGGATGATGTCCTAAATTATTCTTTCGTCATTCGTACAGCTAAATCCACACCGTCTGGGTAAAGTAACAATCAACTCCTTGTATTAGCCATATTTTGAACTTTGGCCAAAATATCTTTACTATTTCTCCAGATCATAACTTATAATTCAATTGTTGGTACATTCCCAAAGCGGAAAGCAGAAGAAATAGCGCGGAGCGAATTCCCTGCCAGTAAGGGGGAGAGAAAGTTCCAAGTCTAGAGAAAGAGAAAGAGAAAGACGGATCCCTCTTTTCGCGAGGATCGCAATGAAGTCGACACAGGGAAACTGAAATCGAAATGATCTTTCACATTACTTAAACCGCTTGGGTAGTCATGTCTTTCTCGACCGGTGGAGTTTCAGTACGCTAGGCTATTATGAGGAATATTATTTATTGGAAGATTCTCACTTTTCTTTCTTCCTTGGTATTTTTTCAGCTTCAGAGGGCTGCAGATTTCGACTGTCCGCGCCGGGTACCCACCATGTCCCTCATGGAGACACGTATTAACCTTTCGCACTAGACACACTTGCGAGCTCCTCGGTCTGTGGTCTGCAGACTCACAAGGCCATCCACGACAACACACATACGTGAAAGACAGGGAACAAACAACCATGCCCACGGCGGAATGCGAACTCGCAACCCTTCAGACCGAGGCGTTGTGTCGGCTAACGATCTAGCCCCCTCGGCCATGGTCGGCATTGGAAGATTCTCATTGATGATACAAAATTTGGTAAAGACGCGAAATTATAACAGAATCATTTTGTTCTCGTTTTTATTCGTTCGCCAATTTATTGTTCCCTAACATTAGTCTTGAATTATTTGGGGGTCCGTGTTTGAAATAGAACTCTGCGTATATATAAACAACTCACGATGACCGTCATTTATTATGACACATGTTCTGAAAATGTCCAAGAAATCCTTTTGTGCTATACGTTCAAATTTCTTATGTCACACACACACACACAGTGAAGACTTCCTCTTAGAATTATACTCCAAACTTTGACTACACGACTACGGTAGAGTATGCTCTCAGGAAAGTAACGTCACACCTGACGTCTTGGTAAACAAGTAAACGGTACAGGGGCTTGTCTCGATAATCGCTACCACACGTCTTAGGATCAACGACACGCTAATTCGCCAAAAGATAACGGGAGACTAAGACTTCGTTCCGAACAGAGATTTTCAGTGTTCCAGACCATCACGAGCAGCTTCTAGTAGTTTCGAAAATCGTCATTAAGATGGTAAAACGTCAAAATATATTATTTCCAGTTACGTACTTCCATATTTTAAATAAAACAGGGTGCGCAAGATGCAAAAATCCTTCTCAATATTTGGCAACGATCGTCGAGAAGTGAATAATTAAAACATCTTATCTTATGAAGTTGCAATATTAAGTGGCAGTTTTCTCGTTGCCTCAGAATATTTGTTTTTTGAGATACGATGTTCTTGCAATTTTGACTAAGAAATGGTTACAGGTATCCCAGATTTTTTTCAATTTTACACTACCTACGCAAATAATACATTGAATGACAACTGATATATTAATTTGTGAATATCTCGTCGTAAAATCTAAGTACATTAGAGACCAAATATGAAAATATCACTAAATCTAGTTAGAAAGTTCTCCAAATTCCAAGAATAAAATTTCGTAGCGGAAAATTACAGTAACCAAAGCGACTACTACACAACTTTATAGCTACAATACAATGTTCAAGTAATCTATAGGAACTTACCTCGTATTGCACTGGAAGGAGAAATCATTGCTTAAATTTTCTACAGAATTTCCTCTTTCATTATTAAAATTGTGAAATATATTGTCTGTAGCCTTCATTATCATATTGTTTTTAGTTGTATTTTTAGCATCATCCAGAAATTTAGGCTCTTCCTGAGCAGACACTTTGTGCAAGTCCAATGTTATATGAGTATCTCGAGTTGGTAGAAGTATCATTGATTTAGATACTTCCTTATGGTCTAAAAGAGAATTCTTGCCACTCTTCTCGTTTTTCAAATAACTATGGTCTTGAAGAATCTGCAACACACACAAACATGTTAATTAAACACACATCTTTTATTTAATAAAAATGTTTTCAGTTTTAATATTAGCATGAATATACATTCCATTTAAAACTGATATGAAAGCGTTAAACCTCGGAGGACGAAACCCAGAAAGGATATCAAGAATAGATTGATTTGATTGACAACATAATCGTTAGCCTACTCGCTTATGCGACTACATATTTAACTTTAATTGGAAGGAAGATGGACGAAATACAATGCAGTAATGCCTGAAGCGTTGAGAACGTCACTTTTTGAAATTAAAAGTTAATACAAGAGGATGCGTGGCGTACTGAATGTTTCTTGAAGTAAGTCTTTTAAAATGAGAAATTAGACACTAATGATTTGGAGGAAGTGTACCATTTTAGGTAGTGTAGTAATTATTTAAAAAAAATCGTAAATGCCTGTAACAATAAGGATAAGGTTTTCATGAACAGTAAAGAAGCAAAGTCCAATGCCACCCAGAGCGGATATGCAAGGTGTCAACACCCTACCCATCTATTCTGATCCGTCTGTCCACGCCACCGTAGGTTAGGTAACAGTGACGAATTTTACCATTTTAAAGAATTTACAGTTAAAACGTCATATCTATTTCCCTATCTACTGCACCCAAGTGTATAATATGAGCTTCGTAATTGATAGGGTGGGGAGCAAGGCAGTAAGAACCGGTCTGAAGACAGAACCCACTGACCACGCACCGTAAATCAGATATAAAAGAATTCGTTCTAGAACAGTACTTCCTTAACTATGGAATATTTTCTCTAAGCCATTACATTTGAATCAAATTATCGCCAATTTTTTCTTATCGGAGCTAACAGCTAAAAATCCTTCGCTCACCTAATAGTTTGGGAAATAATTAATATTTCTTCCCGGCAAAATGTACTTTATGTCTGGTACAATGTAGTGGTACACAGAATAAAATCCTAAGATTAGAATAAATCAGAAAATTCTGATTCCTCAGTAGCAGTTTTTTCATAGATTTTCACATTCTCTCGAATTTTTGATTCGTTTCAATTCTGAATGATTTTCGCAGACTTTCAAAACCATACAATAATAGAAGGATGCTCAAATTGTTCCAAATGTCCCGTATGGGACACATACAAATCCGTATGGGAACATTTCTCGACTGCCCGGTGTTCCCAAATCTGCTGTACACGTGATCAGAAGAGCACTCTGGAAGGAGAAAAACCTTTGAAAATAAACTGGGCGGTGGTCGTCCTCGAGTGCTGACGCAGCAAGGAGGCGATCGGCGAGTATTGCGGAGTTACAAGATACTCCTGGATCAATGCCCCGGCCTTGGCAGCAGACCTCGTGGATGCGTTTATATGCATTTCTCATAGCACTGTACGTAACGCGTTGCGACGCAATGCGTCGAAAGTTGCACGGAAGAAAGTTTCGTGTAAGTTCAAGCAACAGGAAGACGCATCTTCATTTTGTTAAGAAATACGTTAATTTTGATACGGACTATTGGTGGAAGAAAAATAAGACACAGTTGAAAGGGCAGAATTTAATCCCGACCGTAAAACTCGGTGGTGGTTCGAACTTGATATGGGATGTACGAGCTCTTGTGGGATGAGGAATTTACACTTCATAGTTCAAATAATAAACCAGAAAGTTTATAATGATATTCTGGACAATAATTTGAGCTACTGCAGCTACAATGAATTTAGATCATTTTATATTTTTACAAGAATGATATTGTAACGTATTAGCCAGCGTGCCTCGTGGCATCTATTTGGCGACGCTTGGTAGAGGTTTAGCCTCGCCACAGGAAGGAGAGAAGGGTCTTTCCGTAAAGTAAGAACGCGGAAACGGGAGACAAGGCTTGGGGGGTCTTCCGGTCTTTAGAAACCTTTAATTGTTATAACAGCGGTGGGGGTGGCATGACGTAGTAGTCACGTGAGCCTCGTCTATATATCTGAGTGCTCAGAGCCAGTGGGTGGGTTCTGGGGAGAACCTCGTGCATGTGCACAAAACTTGGCGCCACGACGGTGCATATGCGAGCCAGGCTCGCTAGGCAAGTCACGAGTTGACGAAGCCTACGGAGGACTTTGTGTCCTTGGGTGACTGCGGTCACGGGGGAGCGATGCTGTGTGCGTGCTCCGAGGTGAGGAGTGGTTGAGTGCCACGATTCACGCCGATTCTCAATCGGATAAGATCGCTCCTGCGATCGAGGCAAACCATCCGTTGGTACGCCAGAACGGACTTTGTGTCCCAGTGTGACATCCGGTCACGGAAGCTAAGCTTTGTGCGCCCTTCAAAAGTAGGAGTGGCGAATGCCACAATCGAAACCGATCATCAATCGTGTTTGGATCGCTCCCGCGATCAGGGGATAGTAGGTCTATCAGAGCTAGGGTGTAAGAAGGAAATTAATTATAAATATTTGTTGTGTTTTCTTTGTTAATAAATATATTTGTTATATGAAAGCTCTGTGTCTGTGTTCGCTGTGAGTATCCATGACGTCACAATATGATGCACACATCCCTCAATATGAAACAGTACACTGCCCTCATTTGCTGTTGTACAACGCAGCAAAACAATTGCAGTCTTCTCTACAAACCCCGGGTCTAAACACAATAAAAAATATGGGGTTTTCTGAATATATTGCTAAAATGCATGTTACGGCAATTAAACGTTTCAGAGTTGTCCAGTCTCTTTCACTTTCTGAATATGCAAGATATTAACTTTTAATGTGCTGTTTATGCCCTCACCTAGTTTGTTTTTCCTGAAACTATATATGTTCACAACGAATTGAAGGTAGCTATCTGATTTTTCATGAGCTTTAGCCGATTATGCATGGCAACAAATTGCAAACTCCAATAGATTCTTTAATATTTGACTGGCCCTTTTTGAAATTAAACAGCATTGCAAACAAAAGAGTTTACTTCGACAGAGTCATTATAAACCTCATAATAATGCCCCGGTCTGATGTGCATCGTGTCTGATATAAACTTTGTTTCTTTCCCTAATTTTAGCTGTCAAATCTAAAACCAAAGGTCAAAGTTGACTTTTCGGCACGGAAAAGTCCCGCGTCAATGTAACTTATTAAAAGCGTACAAAATTAAGGACGCAATGTACTTAAAACCGCCGCACCGTTTCGCTCATAATTCCAGTCCACGCCGGTTCGCACTGGTGACGTCTATACCCATGCGTGGCCGAAAATCGCCGCACAGCTCTTGAGATTTTTGAAAGTAAGCGATAAGTTGAAGTGCTAATCGCCGAGGAACGGAATATGAATCGCTATGGCCGGTTGAGTGAGCAGCGACGCTCAATTCGATGTTCTAAAATGAGTGATTCCTTTGTGATCTCATTGTTTTTGGGCAATTTCTCGTATGTTTCTTTACTAATTGTGGCATTAACTGCCACCGGGTCATACCCAATTGCAGTTCAAATAAAATGTAATGTAATACCGTGTTCACGTGATTTTACTTTTTATAAATTTCATCTCTATTTTTTTTTACTTCATACATGCAAATATTTTAAAATTATTTTGCTTGATCATCGCCGCATTTATCAAAGACTGGACGCTTTGCCACTGATTAAATAACAAACCAGAGTTTAATACAGCGTTGCAAGAAGAATGAATTCCTCCTCCAAATCATTGAAAATCTTCATTCAACGCCAAAGGGGAGCAGGGCAGTGAAACACGCCAAGAAGAGCGTAACCGCAAAATTCTAAAAGTTCTTCTTCCTTACAATTTTTGAAAATTATTATTGATAATAAAATTATTAATATTATTAAATAATAATGTGTTCCAAGGCTTTTTTGTTCACTTTTGTGATTTTTGCTAATTTTATTACCAGTAGAGTTTCTGCTTTCCGCAAAATATTTGGTTATAAATCTGAATATTTTGGTTTGTTTTAAACTGACTAGTCTTCATTTTTTTCTTAATCCACAACATACAACTCTGATGCAACAGTGTGCAATCCATTCACGTTTACGCTAATGTAAACGCTAACCTAATGTAACTTATTCAATGAAGCAATCGTAACTGAGTAATCCCTTTAATATCCGCGCAACCCTTTCATATAATTCAAGTATTAAAGAGAAAATCTTGGAAAGCGTGACAAACAAGGAGTGCAAACCCATTAATACCTTCCCACCTCTACTTTCCTACCCAGCGACCCAATGAACTCTCGCGCGGAGCGAGGTCGCCGAACAGAACATTTCTCCGGCAGCTAAAGGGGTCGCGGGCACCACTCGCGCAGCCCGGGGCCCGGGGCCAGGGGCATGCAACGCCCCGGCGCGGCGGCCTCGCCCGTTCCAGTTGGCCCTCTGACGAGCGGCGCGCCGTGCAGCGAACGGCCTGTGCCGCCGGCGGCGGCGGCGGCGGCGGCGGCGGCGGCGGCGGCGGCGGCGGCGGCGGCGAAGGCGGCGAAGGCGGCGGCGGCGCTTGGCGCGTGCGCCGGGCTGCTTGCGCAAGGCGCCGTTTCAGTGCACTGCGCATTGCGTAACTGGAGCTAGCGTGCCACGGCAGAGCCGCGACGCATGGGTTAATCGCGACGTAAAGAACAAATGGAAGTCAAGGAGGCAGAAATTGTGCTCGGAAGCACGGAAATAATTTGCAATGCACACGTATAAAACTACCTACGAAAATCGAGTGCAGTTTTGTTGTTCCCCCAAACATTACACGTTGTTTTGCGCATTAACTAAAAATTAAAAAGTAATAATACAGCATAATGTACCAATAATACAGCATTTAGTGATTACAGAAAAAATCAATGCAAACTGTTTTCTCTACTAATAGTTTCTGCATTTACCCGAGCGGTTCTGCGTTCATGAGAGGTGAGGTGTGCGGGTGCGGGCTGAGACGTGTGCTCTTGTGGCTGAAATACGCCCGAGTCACAATCAAGGATGGGGCCAATGTGGGGGCGTACTCCATTACTTTACGTCTTGCGTCTTTTCTACACGTAACCGACATGTATCCCATGCAGACTATGATGACAATGTGATCTATTTAATATTTCCGTCAGTCAAATACTTCAATCAATTACACGACACGGCTCAGGCCATTAGGTTTGTTTTTCCGCCTAACCATGCCAATTTTGCTACGCTCCTTTCGCTATCTAGCAGAAAAAGAAGGTATCGCTCAGACGAAGAAACAGGCCCTTTGGAGGAAAACTGGAGGAAACAGGCGTGAGGAACTTTTACTAGCAGTAAATCTATATGGGACAGGAGACTACTTCCCCTACGTAGAAAGGCGCACGAAGATTTTTTTCACCCTTAAAAAGCTTAGATAGCCTTAGTCTACATAGATTGGGTAGTGTACGTTGTTTAAACATGGTTTGCGTGTAGACGTAGACTACAGAACTTCACGGATCAGACGACGCACATTACTGAAGGGGACACCGACGAGAAATCACTACCCTTACATTCACTATGCTCACAAATGCTTTTTATTAAAATACCTTGGACTTTCACGGTGAACAGTGGTGAAGCTAGGCCTTGGGATATACGGAGGGCGGCAATTCAAAAATATCATTATGATACTATGGTAATAATTAAGGTTATTGAGTTATTGGAAACTATGTTACATTTTTACATGTTATTATATAAGTAATTACTGATTTTTGCGTTTATTTCGGGGACGACAAGGGACTAATGAGCATAGCCGTTAAGTGTGGAGCATATTTTTTAATCACGGAGATGCCTGTATTCTTTCTTCGCTAGATGGCGAAATCCGGCGCCGACAGAGTCGGCTTGAGGGCTTTTCCCCCCGTATCCACATATCTCCTACCAGCGTGGCATTGCCCCAACAAGCTCTAATTGCCCCACACGCGTGGTAATGTAGAGCAAGTAAGTAAGTAAGTAAGTAAGGGTCAAGAATAGGACAGACAAGGGGAAAAAAGATCGCGTGTGAAAGGGAAAAAAGGGAAAAAGGGAAGGGAAAAAAGATCTACAGCACTGCTTCGGCATTGGTAGGAGGTCCACCCACCAGGCTCCGGTCTGGTACTGATAGGAGAAATTGCGGAAAACTTGTGAACAGCAGGCCACTAGAATCCTCCTCCGGACAGCGGCTGAATTCGACCAAGCAAGCGTCGAAAAACCTAACTCGAACCCTAGGTCTTCCCGTTCAGATGCACTCCAGACACATCAGTTAATGCCCTGAGCCACTTCAACCGGTATATTCCACGTAATATTTCGCTCTGCTGTGGGTTTCGCGGTCATTTGCCATCCTCTTTTATGGTATCGTTCCGACGAGACTTTGCATTTTGGTGTAGACATCCTCCTGTGTCGAATATCCGGGCCTATCTTTCCAAAATCACAAGGAGATTGAGAATTCTACAAATTTTTGTCTAGTGTTCTGTCTTTCAAACACTCAAATAACACTAATTTCTCAGTTATTATCTGTCCACATTCGTTTCAATAAATCTGAGCACTTTAAACCTCCATTGAAATTGAAATTGTTATAGAATTCTTCGGGTAGCTGTGAACACAGACGTGAGATGGAATTTAAGTTGCATGTGGGTGTAAAACCGATAAGGCCGGACACCGCCGACTGGCGACTGGACATTACTGCAGGACACAATACTGCACATTGCAGTACGACAGCGAATGGCCGTGCATCCGTGATGTGAACCGCTGCGACAGGACAACGAGCTCACAATTCGATCCGCTAATATTAGCTATTCCTTTTGCCATCATCTTGTTTTAAATTTGAGGCGCTAAGGATACTAACGGCAGATACTAACCGACCTCGCATTTTCAGTTAGAAGTACGATGGTAAAGTCCTACCGTATACCTATAGCAAAACCCTCAAACTCAACCTTCAAAATAATCAACAATAATCAACCTTCAACTTCAACCTTCAAACCTTCATACGTAGTGAAAGTGAATGTAAACAGAAAAAGTATGTTTTTCCCGAAACGAACATCGGTTGGGATCTGTCACTATTATTTTGAGCGTCTCAATTATTTCTTGGCGGTTTCGTAACGAATATTGTTTAAATATTTTATTTCATGATTAATTGTCGAATTAGGAAAAGATCTCGGCAGACCTCACCTTCTGCAAAAATATCAGTCAATTCACGTTAATAGAATAGCACAATAGCAAAATAATTCAATTCCGTTTTGTCATATTGGAGATAAGTGTTTTGACCAGATGAAAGAAAAAACATTCAGCAACTCCCTTTACAATGACCTCACTGAAGACACGCTTTGGGAAATCATCAGTGAAGTAAACCTCCCCGAACGTAATGATGAAGTTACGGACACTGCGTCCTGGAGCAACTGTTAATGGCGATCTAAAACTTCAACAAGGTCCACTGAAAAGGGAATTCGAATAGGATTCGAACACGGGAATAACTTCTAAATTTAAGAAAGAAATAGAAGCAGCAACTCTTTCATTATTTGGATATTAGAACGAGGACGATGACGAAAGAAAAAATAACCAAATCCTTTATTCAGTCACATTCAACTTTGAAATAAGTGTCAAATATTGTTATATTTATTCACTTGGGGATGTTAATTGAGAATTCTGTTTGTAGTACTGCTTACTCTGTTCTACTGCAATTGATTGTGAGATTTTTTTTTATTTTTTTAGACAGTTTTTCAATATCCAGGAACCTAACCCACCTTTCTTCAAAAATGGACTCAACATTTGCAATGCTTTGGGGGAACATAACTCTCGCGGATGTTGAGGGATTGCTGTATTATTAATGATTTACTTCCAGGTGTTCAAAGTTCCTTTGCATCCCATTTTGACGCAGAGTTTCTTGTTTTCATTAGTACTGAGCTATTGGTTTAGCATAGTAAACTATTTTTGTAAAAATAAAGTAAGAAATTTGTTGTCGGGAGTGTTGTGTTTAATGACGTTAACTCCTACTGTACAGTTTCCACTGTCCGAAAACAAAGAAAATACCCACGTGTCCATTCACTTTCTACACTGACCGCATGTTCTAATATTTAGTGAAAGTTTAAAATCAGTACCTTTTTAATTTCGTACTTGAATACGGACTTGAAGTTTTACCATTCAAGTCCATCGATTTATCATAAAACATTTTTGGCAAAATAACCGCTTTTAGTTTTTAATGAACATTATTTGTGTTCTTAATTTCTGTATCTATCTGATTAATAGACTTTTTTTTACTTCTACGTTATTGTTTGTAATTGGAGGTTTATACAATGTGATTCCGTGCTCGTTGCTACTACGCGGGGACCTCTTATTTTATGTAATGTACAGACTGAATTCGTCAAAATTGGGTTCTCTTCGTCGTTTAGATTTGTAAATAATTAACGTTAAACTATGGACTATGCGCTTGCGCTTGCGTAACACGGGCTCTGGTAAGTGAGCAAGCGGCTTCCCCTCGTCTTGCCACTTTTCTGGAAAACTCTGTTATTACTACTATCAGATAAGCCCCGGAAGCGAGCGCAAGGCAAACAGCACGTGAGGTTACAACAAAGTCCGTCACCTGGCGAACAATTCATGCGGACAGATTACGAACTTTTCATTTCCAGCAGGTGCAGCATTTGCGCAGTACAGACTTACAATGACGTTCAGAATTCTCGAGGCATTTCCTGCGCAAATGCAAAGAAAATAAGCTTTTCTGAAACCGTTCATGCGAGGTCAAAGCATCGCAGTTCTTCGTCTGGCGAACAATCTATGCGGAGATATTACGACTTTTCAATTTCCAACAGGTGCATCATGTGCGCAGTACATACTTATAACGTAGTTTTCAATTTTGTAGGCATTTCCTGCGCAAATGCATTGAAAATCAAGAATTTCGTTCTTTAGTCACTTGAAGCGTGTTTTACAGGCACTGGCACAATTAATGTGCACAATTTGCATGTGAGAGCCAAGGATATCTGCATGTTGCAGGTAGTGTAGCTCATCAAGAGCGATTCTCTGTAAATGTGTCGGTTGGCATTGTGGATGGATTCATCCTCAGTACTCACTGTTTACCAGAGCGTTTGAGATGCATTCAGTATCTGAAAATTATAACTCTGTTACTCCCAACTCCTCTGGAGCTGAGGGGTAATGAAAGACCTCCTGTATCTTACCGAAATCGAGCATCATGATCTCCTTCGGCGCATTGAGGGCGTGGCGGCAGAAATTAAGGCAAAATCCGGCTAAGTTGTGACCGTCGTGTCTACCTTGCGTTCACGCTATTTTGAACACTTTTAGAGCCGTGTTACACGAGGTGAGAATACGAAAGTTTGGTAGCATACGTAAATATAATGTATTCTCAATAACGCTTAAATAATTGATTGGTTTTTTTCACTCTTTCATATTTATTGGATAAAAGCAGGCAATAATTCCCACAGGGAAACAATATTTAATGTATCTTTTGTCTACCTTTCTTGCAAAGAATGACCAATTACAAACGTTTTTCAAAATTCTAAATAGGGTTTTCACTATTTCTTTTTGCACTCCTGAATAAGTAAGTGTACTCTATCACCGGGTCCCATATTAGCAATAAGGACTGAATCACACTGTATACACTGCATAACTTACATGGATCAAGAGGATCGTGGTTACGATGGAAATATGAAAACAATCAGTTGAATGATGCTACATGCCAATTTAACATCTGGTTAATTAGTAAATCTGAATAATTAACATAAGGGAAAATAAAATCGTGTATGAGTAAGGGCGTTAACTCGTAATGATCGAGCGGCGACAAAAACTTTGGCGCTCGATCATGAAAATCTTTCCAACGCCCCTGGTGCGTCAATAGTGAGTGTTTCATTGCGTGCAGAGCTCGGAGTCGAAGGCTGCGCACCTGGGCCTTCCGGAGCAGGGCGGCGGCCGCGCGCTGGGAGGCGAGCGCGGTCTCCCGCTCGCGCTGCTCGCGGATCTCGCGCTCCACGATGGTCTCGTTGGCCGGCACGCTCCACTTGGCGGCGCGCGCGCCCTCGCCCGGCCCCGGCCGCGCGGCCCCGGCCCCGGCCCCGGCCCCGGCCCCGGCCCCCTCCTGCCCCTGCCCCTGCTCCACGAACGCCTTGGCGATCGTCTCCACCACTTTGGGGCCCAGCCCGTTGGTGGCCGGCTCCACCGCGTTCCAGCTCTTTGGGGACTCCATGTTCTTCGAGGGCTTCCTGCAACAACCACAAGAAAAAACAACTCAACATTCAACTCCACGCTGTTGGGCGGCCATCACATCGCGTAATCCTCTCTATCAGATGTTCTCGCCTGACTATCTTGCGCGTTCAGCTCTTAATGGTATGAAGCAAGAAATCAAAACCTAGCACGTAGAAGCGAATGAACTCGCAGCAAAAGCAGATACATCAGTATACATGGACACAACTAACACGGAATTTAAGATTTATAATTGACTATAATATAAGAAGACAAAAAACTAAAACTCTAGATAAAAAGACATAAGAGTATTGAGAGGCCCCGATTGTGGATCAGATCATCAATTACTGGTGTCCAGAATTTTCTTTCGTTTTAAAAGTACAAGAGATGCTTACAAAATTGAAGGTGGTAATCATAGGAGGATACAGAAAAATGTTTTGGGAACACTACAGCAAATAAAGCATGGTGTATACTAAAGTCAATGAGAAAACAAAATAATAACTTGGCAATTAATAGTCCAATAGGAATGGAAGAGGGGAGGGAATATTAAGCACTGCTTATAAAAGATAGATCCAATTTTTTGCTGGACATGGTAAATGAGAAGAGTACAAATGAAAATTTACACATCCCACCGGTAAGGACTCAAGAAGTAATCATTTCGGTAAAATTAAGTACGTACGGTCGATCAACCGGTCTTGGTAAAATTATATATATATAAAATTAATAAAGTCCCGCATCACTTATAGTTCTAGTAGCTATGGAATAAAGTATAACTTTATAAACTAGTTGCATAATATAATACTCTAGATTCACGAATCAATTTTTGGTTCCCTTATTTTTTCTTAATTTATAACTCATATTGAAATTACATCACAATCCGATCTACTGTAGCTTACACAGAATATCTAAACGCTATAGTGATTGATACGAACTTCGAGGCCAACTCTCAACACGGCGTAGAAACGCGTACTTTCAAACGAGTTGTGAGTGCTATAACCTTGAGAGATATGTAGAACTCGTTCTTCCTGATTTGCTGTGCACGCCTTTCGTTTCCACTTTCGATATTTTCTGGGATATGCACTTTTAGTTTCGCATACGTACGTTGTTTCCTAGAAAATATTCGACTTCTCGAATGAAAGTTCATATTGAGGCAGAGTCGTAAGAGAACGTTATTAATATAACGAACACTTGCTCGGTGCCTTGAAACGCTGCATGAAAACTACTTTCTGAAATATCTTCAACATTTTCATCTGTGCAGTCAAATCCGTATTGAAATTGGAACTAGTGGTGCTTGAACAGCACATACTTTTGTGTATTACACAGGCCTGCAAAATATTTTGTCTGCGGCACTGGGTTGACACCAAATCTCGATGGTACATCCAGAGCAGATCTGTAGCGTAGAATTGTTTATAAACGACGGAGGGTAAGGGGCAGAGCCCAGTTTAGTTACAGATCACCATCATGAATACTATGCTATGTAGTAGTGTTGAAGTACAGACAAGAGTTCTAATTCATAGGCCTCCATTCGAACGATTTTAACGCAGTTAGCAATATTGTTTTGTCAAATGTACATTATGTAAATCCTGAGAGTGATAAAAGTATTTTCTAAATTAGGGCATTCGATCTTGTACAAAAAACAATGTATTCTGTGCAGCAAAACGTTCAAAGAATCGTGTAATGGTAACGGTTACGTAATTTCATACTGCAACTTCTATCCCACTTACACTTCAGCCACCACTACAACAACTCCAAAACAAACCAAGCGCAATAGAGTAGAAAAATGTAGTCATATTTTTTCTTCAAAAATTTAAATCAAAACGGTTTTTCTATTTAATACAGTGTATTTAATACATTTAATTGTTTTACAGTGTATTTAATACAATACCATTTAATACACTGCATCTATTCTACTACTTTCGAGTATACGCAGAAATTGACAGAAAATTAAGTAGAATTTCTCCATGTGATGTCTCAATGGTTTTCATATATACCAAGGAAGACAGGAAAAATACGAAAACAAAGAATTAATTTCGATTTGGGTTAGAGAATTACATCCCACTCACGCATACAACACATTTAAGACCATAATATGTTGGCAGATCATGACATACAAAACATTACTGCAACACACCATGCAATAACGCATAGTTTTTAAATCTAATCACAAGGTTTTCGTGTTCGTGAAGTGGGATAAAGTGGGAGTCTGGTAGGAGACACAAGGGGAGAGGTGGGGAAATGAAGATAATTGGGAGATAGGTGGGGAATAACTGAAGAACATGTGTAGAAATGAAGGGGGAGGGATAAAGGGACAGGTGAAGAACCAATTGTTTCTTAGTATTTCACAATGTAAGACCTTTTTGAACGTTCTATTACAGTTTTGAAGATTTAGATCTTTTAGGTGCCCTCCCTCTATAGCATGGTTGGTCAGAAAAGTTACAAACTCGATATATATGTAAAATTAAATAGAAAGAAAAAGAAAAGTGCGAAATTTTTGCACGGCTCCGGCTGGTACTGTATGATACGCTATGATAGACGACATTTTTTAAAACTTATACGAAAACATTGACACAAACCCCTTTAAGAGTGCCACTGCTGCATAGGGAATTACTCTCTAGTCTATATTAAAACAGATTTAAGATGAACTGTGCTTACTTTCTCGCTTTATCTGTAATGGCAACGCTTATACATGAACCTGCAAAAGAATTTTCAACTTGCAAATTCTTTTCAACGCCGAGACTAGAACTCAGGTCCATTGAGTTAACTCACCGTACGATTTACCGCTACCGTGCGCACTCGCTCTACTGCCATGGGCCGATGCCGAATCTAATTTGTCTCTCCTATTATGTCGCACTCGCAATATTCGAAAATTCAGAGAGTTCAATGAAAACAAGATCGGGTCCATTCTTTAAAACACCACTTTACTATAAAGATAATAGAGAATACATGAAATATAAGAAATTTAAAGAAAAAAATGTGAGCGGGTTTTGAAAAAAAATTAAAAATAACTTTCATTACTATCAAGCACAAATGACGTGGAAAAAATTGTACCTCATCTTTCTTACAGAGCTGATTCACTTGAATGTAAAAATCTCTATCTTCAACTTTGTAGTTTTTAAATGTTACTTCATTTTAAATGCAATTCTGAAAAAGACTTCACCGGAAAATTTAAAGAAAAAGCTCCGAGTTTCCGTTTCAAAGCAGTTTTTGAGAAAATACTTGTTTAAAAAAATAAAATTGCCAATACTTCGCGCAAAATTATGCGAAAACTACTCATATTTCCAAAAATAGAACATGAACTTACTTCAAGATAATTCTTTAAAGAACAGGTTATATTAAGAAAAACTGTCTATGATCACTGTTGTAGTTGCAGGACGATACCAAAAAATAAATTGAACTTTAGCAATTTTCGAAAAGCCTGGTAATTTAACGAAAATTAGTCCAGAACCATTCTTTTAAGCGTTCTTTACACTACCCGAGGACGAATTTTAATCCAAAAATGTCTACTCCATTTTTGAGAAAATGTTTACAATGTTGCTAAGACTTCGTGTTAAGTATCCCAAAAATAAAAATATCAGTTTCAAACTCGTGAGGCCTTGAGTTCCATTTCATCGATCAGGGAAAATCAATTTTCAAGAGCCGGTCCGGATGGCCGAGATCGCTAAGGCAGTAGTGGCGTAGCGATCTCGGACCGAAGGATCGCGGGTTGTAGTCCCGTCTCGGGCATGGTTGTATTGTGTTCGTCCTTTCACGCCCTATCATCATCATCATCATCATCATCATCATCATAATAACGTGTCATCCTCATAGTTACCATGCCGTTACACGCAAAAGATGTCGTTAATATGACCTTAAATAACACAAGAAAAGAAAGAAATTCGAGAAAATCGAAGAAGGGTTGAGGCGCTGGCTTTACGAACAGACGGAGGTTCTGTCGTCAATCGATTTTTTCGGTATCAAGGCCCCGCAGAACATAGATTCAGACTACACAACACTAAGAACACTGAGCCGACATAGAATTTCACACAGTTTGCCGCCGACATTTTTCCTGTAGAATTTACGGAAAAGCTAAAATCAAAGGGATTAGATACAAATTATTTTGCTCGTATTCCAACATCAGCGTCTTTTTTGTTAATCCCTCGGGGAATTTTTTTTTTCCTGAACTTTGGTCGCATCTGTTTGCGATGATCGAGAAGACGTGTTTTCGAAGACAGCTAACGTCTTTCAGGAAGTTTTCTTAAGCAATCAGCAATACTACAAACAATCAGCATATTCGACGAGTTTCGTCACCTTTCCTATTTACACGTGTAACGGTTCGAACAGAGCGAACAAATTGACTCAAAGTTGCATTCTACCCGTCTTTGCCATATGAAGTTCTTGGGTATTGTTTTATAATTTTTTGAATTTTAAAAACATTTAAAAAATGTATTTCTAATCTCCAATTACGATATGAATATGTAGATCTTGAATTTTTTATCACAACTAACTAAACAATCGCGTTTCTCTTCTAAATTTCAATTTTGGAATTGTGAAAAGGTAAAAGGAATTGTCAAATATATGACCAAAATATCCGTAGAATACTTGAAGGTATTAAGGCAATATACTGTTAACCCTCAATCTAATAAATAATGAAAGCCAGAAACCAAATCTCAGTTCGCCTAAATCCAGACATTTCTCCTTTCGTGCATATGTAACTAATCAAGTGCAAAACTGTATTTATTAAACTAGTTGGACGATATTTATGATCATGTGGTATGACACCCCTTGAAATGAAGTACAAAAAATATTATTTCAATACATACTACTTACGACAAATCCATATTTTCAATCCTTAAGTAATACAAAAAACATGAAAATGTAAAAGAATGGAAAGCAGAGTTCAGGGAAAAAAAACTGCAACAGTTTTGTGAATATTTGGAATATGTTTCATGTCTTCAAATACTAAGATCCCTTCGCTTCCCTGAGCACGCGCTAGCAGGGGGAGCGCTGCATGACCTTGTGTGGCGGACAGTTACATTACAAAAATATTGGTTAAAGACTAGTCGCCAAAAAATCAAAATTACTACAAAATGCTTATCTATGCTATCTATATGACAATATAATGGATTCGTCTTTTTACGCTTGTCATGATACACTGAAAAAATGATTATAGTTCTATTTGAAAAAACAAAGTTACCTCCAATATCTCGTAAAATACAATTGATAAATATACATGAATACACTTAACAATTAGCCCCATTCTCTCATGCACTTCCGTGAAAACTGCATTCCTTTACCTTCAACAGTTCAAAAGTTACAGGAGGTTCAAAGTTTACGTGACTCATCCTGTATAGTAATTACATCTTCTAACACGTGTAGTCAGAATCCATATTTTGTGGGTCTTCGACAACGAAAAATTGATTAACGGCAAAAGGTTTGGCCGTCTCTCAAATCTAGCACCGAAACTATTCACCCGAATTCCTTCGAAATGGATATTTCGCTTTCAGGTTAAAGGAGCTCGTGTCCCTCTGAGTTTCCAACCGATATTTTTATTTTAGAGGGTGCCTTATTTAAAGCCTCAACATTTTCAAAATTTTCTCAAAACTAGCTCAGATTGCGTAAAGGATGCTTAAGTGAATGACGCAGGTCTCAGTTACGATAAAATCCCAGGTTTTTAAAAAATTGCAATCGTTCAATTCTTTTCGTATTTCTCCTACAACTACAATATTCAAGATAAAGATTTTTTTCGAATTTTCGAAAATTAAAAAAAGTTGGCATTTTAAAACTAAAAAATTGAAGATAGAAATATTCGCCTTAAAGAAATGTGATCTAAAAAAAAGCACTTTGCAAAAGGTCATGTACGTCTTTTTAACAAGTAGTTTTGGGGACAGAAGCCATGACAAGTATTTTTCTCTAAAAGAAATGTTATGGAATCACACAATTTTTTTTGTAACAACACACAGTGTGCGTCTATTAGCAGAGAGACCAATGTGAAATCAGTTGTCTGACTGCCGCCGTGAGAGATGATTGTAAACCGTTTCGAACAGCGCTCTCTCATACGCCATGGTAGCCGGTCTCTATGGAAGAAATGCCCGAGAATATCACAGGGAACTGGTGGAAGATTTTGGAAATAATGCCCTTCCACACTGAAAGCGACATGAGCAGGAGAGTTTCTGTGAGGACGCATCAGTGATGAGCAACGCACATGACCTGTGAGTATGCGGACCGATGTAGCACGTACGGTAATCAACTATATGCCTTATCGGATATACACTGGAACGTAATGCTTCTGGAATGTTGTAAACTTGTATGTGCTATAATGCTTTGAAACATGAAAACAGGAGTCACGTCAAATACCTTACTTAATATGAGGAACCCAATTTTGACGTGTTGTTAAAAGTCCATGCGCTTAATTTATACATTGTCCTTTCATATGTATATTTAATATTTTCCATCCGCACTCATATTCTCAAAAACACTAATCAATATAAATTGATTATCCCGGGTTTCGGCACCATTTTTAAGGCTTCGAAATGCGTTGTTCATTCGTTGGAGGATCTGAAAATGTTTATGATGCCGGCGATAGTAAACAGCTTCCAATAGTTCTGGCCTGTGAAAATTGAACAATTAGGCTGACATCACATGTCGGCATTAGAATCTGATTTCCAACACTTAAGTATTTCAAGAAAGATGTGCGTCACTTGTCTTGTCACTCCGAATCTTCGCACGCATGCATCCACGAACAGCGTCGAGGTCTTTCGCTTCCTGTGCAACGCAGTCCGCCTCAGTTGGTGCGGCTGATTTAAACAATGCGTGCTAACAGCCTTCAGTGGAATCGACTGCTTTTCGTCGGAATTGTCTCGTGCGTCGGCCTGGCCAGTGCTGCGCCCAGCTAGCAAGTTGCGAGTAGCTTGAAAATACGTATTCTTAGATACCTCGTTTTTACTACCTGCAAATGAGGTTGGGGTTTTGAAGGAAAATTACTCTATATTGAACGGGGTATGTTTGAAATGTTCGATCTTAGCTCATACAAGCTACCATTCAATGGTTAACCCGGCGAAATCTGGCGTCAGCTTTTCCCTATAGATAGATATTCACTCTCAGTATATGCTGTGATAAAAACTAGCCGCCGTCACGCACCCCGAAACTATTAGGAAAATATCGAAATTCCACACTTTTCCGAGGCAAATCGTCATTCCGGTGGTGTTAGTGCTGCCCTGCCTATCGTAAGAGAATGTTAGCCGGGGCAACAAGCGTTCCTACGGGCACGAGTTCCATTTCAAGGCAGCGAAACACTATGCTACACTGCGATTTTTCCCACTCTGCCCCTTGCAGATTTCAGCTGTTGACAGTTTCATCCAATCGGGAGCTTGAACGTCACCATAGAGACGGCACTACGGTGACGTTCAAGCTTCCGGTTGGATTTTCTAAGGGAAACAAACTTGAGAACATG